ATATATATATATATATATATATATTTCAGTGACGGATCCAGAAAATTTATTAACTGGGGGCAATAAAATATTATGTATCATTTTTATTAAAAAAAATTAATAAATTTTTTGAAAAATGTTTTTGTGAAAAAAATTAAAATATCTTATTTTAATAAATTAAATTGTCTCATAAATAGAGTGATAATTTTATTTTTTTTTGTTTGTTTTTATCTGAGATTATAATTAAGTATCACTTTATAATTTTTTATGATTTATTTAATATTAGAGGAATAAAATGGTAAAAATTAATAAGATAAAAATAATAAAATTATCAATTTGTTTTTTTTTACGTATTTTTAAATTTCTAAACTCATTTAAAATAGAAATATTTTATGAGTGCTATGTCTATTTTTTTTAATAGGAGTAAATATTTTTATTTAAATATGTTTAAGTTAAAAAACAATTGTGACAATTACTCTCATTCTTCTTAATTTAGATCCTCTCCTACCAACATAATACACATATACATGACCAAAGGGTTAAAAAATAAAATAAAAATTAAAAAATAATCAACATTAGTAAAATAAACTATGACACATTTAATGAGTAAAGAAGTAATAAATCTTTTAGTAAAAAAAATATAGTATATTATAATAATAAAAAATAAGAAAGGATTGATAGATTAACTTCATTGAATAATTCATGTTCTACGAGAATGAAAAGTGGCATACATGATGCATCACTAATACTATATACTAAATAAATAGAGGCTTATGATGCATCATCTACTACTTCAAATAAAAGAGTGCTACAATATATGTAGCTTTTGTTTCCAACTTATAGTTGATGGTTATCTCAAGACTCTCTACCTACACTTTGTTTTTACCATGAGTAATAAAGATAATATTTACATGTTTTTTTTTATTATAAATACATAATAAAAAAATAGTCATCAACTAATATAAACCGGGGGATTCGAGTGCATACCAAGAAAATCTATTATTGTCTACAAAATCAAATCACACACTATTTTGTTTTAATAACTCATATTTTATATCAAATTTCAATAATTTAACTGTTAAATTAAAAGTGCTTAATGCGAAGATTTAGTTTGCAAAATTTTAAAAAAACTTAAAAATTATTTGATACATCGTTTTATTTATTTAAATAAATGTAAAAAAAAAATTCTTTTATGATTATATATCAATTTGAATTAAAGAAACAAAGTTGTATCATATAGTTTTCAAATTTTTAAATATTTGCAGACTTGATTTATATATTAAGAATTTTTAATTTAATGATTAGATTGCTAAAATTTGACATATAATATAACTTATTGAGTAAAGTAGGTTTAAGTAGACTTACTTTTGAAACAAGTGAATTCCCCTCTCTCTCTCTTAGCACTTAATCTTTGCATTATTTGACTTTTAATTTTAGTGTGAATCATTGTTCTTTGTTTGTGATTGTTGGGTTGTATTTGAGAGTCTTATATTAATCAATATTGTTATATAGTTAATCAGTAATTAACGTCATATTTAATAAAAATAGATTCTTTTGTGGTAATTTTTGAACTAAAACCATTGTTTAATAGCTTGTGTTTATCTCTAAAACTGGTAATCATGGCATGATGTGTTATGATTTTTTAAAAGCCTAGGCGAGTAAGCTAATAGATCCATAAGTTGTTAAGTCAGACGAAGCAATTCCCAACAAGGTTTTGAACATGACAAATATAATACATATTGTTATTTCTAACATGTGTATTAGCCTTTCAGATAAATATAAGAACAGGAAAAAATGAAAAATAAAGTACGTGTTATTACACATACTATGGTCAAACCAAACGAAGCCTGGTTGAGCTGTACAAAACATCAAACGATGGTTGGTCAAGCATCAAGACTAAGCCTGATCAAAAGCCAGATGAAAATACAACAAGGCTAAATCAAGAACAAGACAGGAGTTGGTTAAGCACCGGATGAAGTCCATACAGACATCAGATGAAGCTTAATGGTCAACCAGACGAAGGTCAACAAAGTATCAGACGATAGATAACACAAGACGAAGAAACGTTCCAGACGGAATTAAGGTCTTCCATGTTCAAAACTGACCAAACGGAAGGAAAAGTCAAATTCTATTTCTCAGTCAGAGACTCAAATTTGAGATGCATTACCAGACATAGACGAAGAATACTGAAAAATGACTAAAGTCCACTATTCATAACAAGAGATATCAAATATCGTCTACACTCATAGAAGAGCACACGAAGTCATCAAATTTGTGAGAAGAAAGAAGAAAGATAAACAAACGCGTATCCACAAGTCAAAGCATGTGTGTGTCAGAGAAAGTAAACCTACTTTTAAGAAAAAGACGACGCCTCTGCAGCTACAATGACGAAAAGAGAACAAAAATACCTAGGTTATGATTGAATTCAGAAATAGAAGTGAACGAACTACACAAAAGACTTCACATAACACAGATTCAGTAAGCAAACATTTAATGTAAGATCAAATGCATTAAATGAAAGATCTATATGTATGGCGATGAATGAACTAATATTTGCACCAACAGGAAGCTTTGCTCCAACATACACATTCAAATTTAAACAACTGGCAGATTTATCATGAGGCTATAAATATCAAGACCTAACAAGAGAAGGAAGTAGAAGAGAAGCAACAAGCAATAAGCAAAAGAGAATGTTAAAGCAAACTTAATTACATCTCTTCTTGTATAGTCTTGTATATTTGTGTAAATCTAAGATAGTTTATCTTAGCGAGTGTTGAGACTATCCTATCCTCTTTGTGAGAGTAATACACACACTCAAAACACATATTTCTGTAAATCTAAGGTTGCATACCTTAGCGAGTGTAGAAACCATCTTATCCTCTCTATGAGAGTTATACACACACTCAAAACATCTATCTACCGTAAAGCCTGAAGAGGCTAGTTGAAAGAATACTTGGAGAACCAGAAGTGGTTTAAGAATACTAACGTAGACGAGTGAAGTTGGCGAACTAGAAGTGGTTGATAATACTTGTAATCCGTTGTGATTGGTGGAACCCTTCCGTTGAAGGAGACTGGACGTAGCTCAAGTCGAGCGAACCAGTATAAAACTTTTTGCACTTTTCATCTATTTCTCAGACACAATTTTGTTTAGCTGATCTATCATACTGAAAATTTTGTCCACTGCTTCTTTTTCACGACAACTATCTTCAGACGAAAAATACACTTGCTTAACTTATCATTTTAAGAAATATTTTTCTTGTGCAGATGATAAACGCAAAATCTTTTGTTGAGCCAACCTTCACTACTAGAGAATTACTGTTCTACGATGGCAATTTTACATCGCTTCTACCAAAAACGATGTAAAATATAAATGCGGTAAAATTTTTGTAATTAAATGTAAAAGGTTATAACATTTACATCAATTTTAACCAGAATCGATGTAAATTTGTACTATCCTACATCGATTTTTGGATTAACCGATGTAATATTAAAAATGTTCTACATTTGTTAAGGGCATGACCAATGTAACGCTCTCCTATCCCAAACCCTCTTCGACTATGATGATGTGATGGAATCATGCCTAGGAAGGCAAGGAGTGACACATTGAAGGAGTCAAGAGGAGTTGGCTAGACATGAAGGATTGGGCCAGTCAAGGCCCGATGGGCCCGATGGGCTTGGAAGGCCCAAGTTGAGCTTTACATGGGCCTATCTTGTTATAGCCATTTTGTCCTTATATTTTGTTAGTATAGGTTTCATATATTTTGGTCTTGTATTTTGGACCACATAGAGTAGCATTTTTGGGCCATAGGCTTATTGGGTCTAGTTTTGGGCTTCATGGGCCTTTGGGCTTTTGGTACCCAATATTGGGCTTTTGGTACCCAATATTGGGCTTTTGGTACCCAATATTGGGCTCATTTTAATCCTTGTAATTTTTCCTTTATATTTTATTTGATTGACCATTGTATTTAGGCCATTAGATTAGGAATTTAGAAGGTTTTCAATATTAAGTCATTTAGGCTAAATCTAAGTTTCATTAAGATGTCATTTGGCATGAATTTAGGTCACATGTTTTAAGCTTGTATGAGCTGAACATGTGCACCCTAAATACACATCAAATGAGTCTCAAATGCAACTTAGATGATGCCAGTTGCCATAAATTTCGGATGTGCACATGGTACACCAAAATTTGAATTTCAAATGCCATTTGAAATTCAAATATTGGCGCCAAAGATGGACATTTGAATTTAGGCGCCACTAGCTTGCTTATTCGGACTATATATTGAAACCTTCACCCTTATGTAATCACTTTGAGCATAATTGAGAATTCTTCTGAATACATTTCAGATTTCTCTCCCCAAAGTCACCTAGGTTCTTAGTTTAGCTTTAGGAATCCTTCACTTTCTAAAGCCAAACCGTGATCCATCCTTTGCACTCCTAGCTTGAGTGCTTCCTTCTAAGATTTGGAACTCCAAATCTTGTCTTCTTCATCTCTTCATTTTGCTGGAATTAAAGTCTCAAAGGCAAGATCCATTGCATTCAAGCAAGGAAGATTATCTTCTCCATCTCACCTACTTGACTCCATCATGATGACAAAACCTAACGATTGCAAAACTGTGATATACGACAAGGAGACGCTGGTTAACCGACGGAGCTAAGAGGCACTGAAGTTTCTGATGCTCGCGAAGTCGCTTGTGGTCGACGGCAGCACGAAGTCACACAAAATGGCGCTGGTTTTCATCCACAACGGGTTGAATTCGTTGAAGTCGCCAATGGTGGTGCAACAGTTCGTGAACCACGATGGTGTGATCTTCAAGGTCTACGTGGTCGGGGAGTGCGTGCGTTGCGTGAAGCGAAAGTCCTTGCCGAATGTGGAAGAGAAGAAGTTGGTAAGGGTTTCGGAGGACTTGTTGTCATTCTCGCAAGTGTCAAATTTGACCACCGATGAGAGAATCGATGATAGGTATTATAAGATGATGCAGTTGGATGATATCGAAATGCCTCCCCTGAGCTTCGTTACTCAGATAGCTCGAGGGTTGAGGCACATGATGAGGCTCAACCTGTTTAATTTTGATGTTATTAGGGATTTATGACTATCAGCATCTTTATTGTTCAGAGATACCCATTCTAACATATTGGAAGAAAGTTTGAAAAGCTTGGAGTTGAGAAACTCAACAAAGATGATGTTCAAAAGCTACAATGGGAGGTATTAGAAGCAAAAATTGGACACTAGATTGATTTAATGAGTATTCATGTAAGAACATTGTAAAATTTATTTATATATTATATCTTTATATAATTGTTCAATTATGACCATTGTAAAATTTGTTTGTATATATTATCTTTATATAGTTGTTCAATTATGCAATTATACTTGAACAAATCGAATTGTTGTTTGCTGGTGAACGAAGAGTCTGTGATCAGATATTTGAAGGATTTGACACACTTAGTGATCAGTGTTTTGCTGAAGTAACTACAAACAACATTTCCATGCTGCTTAGTTTTGGAGAAGCAATTGCCAAAAGCAAGAGGTCACCTGAAAAGTTATTTGTACTTTTGGACATGTATGGGTTCTTGCTAGTTTTTACTCCTAACAATTTTTACATTTGACCTGTGATAGAATTTCATATTAGCCTAGATGTCTGATATATTGCGTGTTCATGGTCATGCATCGTAGGGTTTTGTGGCTGCTTTGCATGTGTTTAACAAGAAATAGGAGGCATATTTTGATGGTTGTAACTTATTATCATCTTTTGCTCTGGAAAATTTGCAGATTGATATGCTCTTTAAAGGCAGAGCTTGCACCAAAATAAGAGAAGCTGTAACGGGTTTGCCAAAATAGCTTGCACAAATAGCCTAGGAGACCTTTGGAGATTTTGAAGAAGTTGTTGAGAAAGATGCTACCAAGACTGCAGTAACTGATGGAATTGTCCATCCTTTGACAAGCTATGTAATTAACTATGTGTAGTTTTTATTTGAGTAAGTTCATCTTTGTTGTATTCTGCTTCAAATTCTCAAGTCCACTCATTAAATTATGTTTAGAATTTTATATTGTTTTCACTGGTGGCAAAGCTATATCTTTATTTATATATGATGCGTGGGTATTTTTTTCTTCGGTTTTCTTAATTTTTTTTATGGATACAGGTTCTTTCTTTAATTTCTTCTACCACATGTTGTTTTAGACCAAATATCTAATCTTTTCCACAATTCACAAATCCAATCAAAATAAAATGTTGGAATGTATCTACTTTTAACTACTTCATAATTAAAAGAAAAATATTACCTGATTGCACTAAATTCAAAACAGGAAATCTACATTAAAATGTTAAAAGCACGTAAGCAACATCTTTAACCACTATTTATTTTACAAGTGGCATTAACTTAACCTAAAATAACAAAGATATTTGCTTTAGAGATAAAGACCAATAGTAACTTATAAGTTATCATTGCATTGCCAATAAATCCATTTAAGTTTGTATATTTCCTTACCCCCTATCCTAGTAATGTAATTCAAAGCTTAAATTATTAATATCCAAATTTAATCAACTAGAAACACCCTTGAGAAACATAACTTAAGAAAAGTAGGAAAACAATATATACTTAAAAATTTGTCCTTCCACATCCACACATTAACAGGGTATCTCCAGTGAATGCCATTCTCGATTAATGTTAAATTTAAATTCTTTTGTTAATTGATTTATTGTAATTTTTTAAGAATATTTTTAATCATATAGTGAACACATAAGCTTTAATGATTGTAATTTTGTTAATTGATTTTGCTTCACCATCAAAAAGCTTTAATGATCTAGTGAACACATAAGAGTGCAATTGATAATAAGTGAAAATAGAACAACCCTTTCCTTTTTTTAAATTATTTTTGACATTTTTTATTTGTTTAATTAGTTTGTTATCTAATTGGGTTTTGAATAAGTCACTTAACCAATGCATTTTACTTATTATTACATAGTGCTCCAGAGCCACTATGAAGAGTCATCATGAGTTGTGTACTATGACTTTGGAGTACAAAAGGGAGTGTGGCAAGAATAATTAATGTGCAAGATTCTCTTACTGATGTGTCTGGTGCTTTGATTTAGGGAATTGTGTACCATAAACATCAATATTTATTTGTTTCATTAAAATTTATACATAAGCATGTATATTATAATTTGTTTGTGTCATTTTTATTATTGTAATTTGGTGGCCAAGTTAATCTTAATGCACAATATTTAATCATTATATTTATATATGAAAAATCTACCTAAGATTTATTTATATGTTCATTACAAATAATCATAAAGAATTTAAAAACAAGTATGATCTTTTTTTATAAAAAAAATGCAATCTACATCGGTTTTCTAAAGAACAGATGTAAATTTATGCATAAATCTACATCGGTTCTAAAACCGATGTAGAAGGGTATAGATTTTTTAAGTCATTTTATTCTACATCGATTTTAGAATCGACGTTGTAAGACCCGCAGTTCTTCTTCTTCCTTCCCCTCAACACTCTCTTTTCTCCTCATTCCCTATTCTCTCATTTCAACTTTCTGAGTTTCCTTGTGGTATTGAAGGTGCTGCATAGAAGTGTGGGTAGCTAGTCGAAAGCGCGAACCTTGTCCTTCTTCTTCTTCCTCTCCCCGAAGCTCGGATTCTACTTCTCTAAGGTAAGGGAAGCTAGATTGAATTTTGTTTGATTGTAAGTGAGTTTAGGAACTCAAATGATGCTTGAATTCGGAGGATTCATGGTTGGATTGAAGAGTTTCTCATTTTTTTGGGATTTTGGGAAAAATGGGGTTTTTGATGATTTTGATGCCTTGAGAAATTGCATGTTGAATCTGAGGTTGTTTCTGAATTGTATGAAGTCTATGCATTTCATTTCATGGATTGCATGTGGTTGAAGTTGCTAATTTTCAGGTTTTGAAGGAATTTTCAAGGTTTTTGGAGGGTTCTGGTTAAACATGTGTCGGGCGCAGTTCTTGGCATCGAGCGTGCATTCATCAAGGATCATCATTGTCAAATTAAGCCGGGTGCGAGGCTAGTTGTGCCGGGCACGATTTGAAGTGGGAAGTCTCTGGATGGATCATGCCAGGCGCGAAGGGAACCACGCCGGGCACTATCAGACGAGGGCCTTGTGTTTTTGGTTACTGATATGGAGTCAGCGTGATCTGAGCATGCCAGGCGTGGAGACTCATTGGGAGTCTCTGTCTAGGGTTTCGCCAAGCATAGGATAAGTACGCCGGGCGCAGAGACCTATATAGGTCTCTATTAAGATTCTTATGAGTCTCTGTTTGATTTTGCACCGGGCGTGATCTTAATGCGTCGGCCGTTAGTATGTTGGTCTTTAAGTCTGCATGAAAGTTGTAGCCTTGGATATTAGCTTTCCAATGGCGCTGGAATCACCCAAAAAGGAGGTCTAGAATTCCAGATATGGCTGTTTTAGTGAAGAGGGGTCAAGCTGCCAACATTGGTTATAGGTGTTGCAGTTTTTAGAATTTTTAACAAGGTAGATGAAGGAATTAGGACTTGGTATATTCATGATAGTTGTAGGAAATCTTCTTATATTTTATATGAGATAAGGATGATAATGGTTGGAGTAGTATAACTCTTGATACATTATTTTATGTGAAGGTTTCCATTTCACAAGAAGTGATTTGGTTAAGTTGAAAGTTGTTTTAGGTGCTTAGGTTGATTGGTGTTGTTTGGGTGGGTAAGTTGGCATGAAATATGGGTTGTAAACATGTAGTATGAATTGTGTTATGTGATGAAAATGTTGTGTTTTGATAATATATGATTAAATATTGATTAATGATGTTGTTGGTGATGCTTTTGTTTTGAAGATGGGATGTAAATGAGATGCATGTTGTAGTTGAGTTGTGAAGTTGTGTAGTTGTGTATAAGTGCTAAATAGAAATGTGTTGAATATGTGATACGTTGTTAAAGTTGCTAAGTTTTTAGAGGAAAGTTGTATGTTGCTATAAAGTTGTATGTTGTACTATGTGTTGAAAGATATTATTTTATGATGATTGAGTTGAGCCGTTAAGCTGTTGAGTTGATCATGTTGTTTAAGTTGTTGAGCTGAGCTGTGCTGTTGATTTGATCATGTTGTTTAAGTTGTTGAGCTGAGCTGTGCTGTTGAGTTGATCATGTTATTTAAGTTGTTGAGCTGAGTTGTGCTATTGAGTTGATCATGCTGTTTAAGTTGTTGAATTGAGCTGTGCTGTTGAGTTGTGAGTTGATTAAGTTGTGATGATGAGTTGTTGATCACTAGGACTAGGGGAGATGTTTTTGAAGTTGTTCATCCCATTGTGTGGATTGAGAAAGCTGTGGTGCTCAAAGAGCCCAATTTGTTGAAAACCCTCCTTGGGAAGCTGTCCCTTGGAGTGGACGTTGTGTTGTTCTCCTCTAGGACTTAGTTGGTCCCGTGTGTGGGCAAGGTCGAGGCACACGTGTACAAAGCAACCACGGTATAGGGGCAAGGTCAAGCTATATCGATTACAAAGCGACCACCATATAGGGGCCATGTCGAGCTATATCGATTACAAGCGGCCAATTTTAGTAAAGTACTAAGTCAAGAACTTAGTTCCTAACCAAGTATCAGAGGGTTGTAGTATTTGGAGGATAGTCAGTAGGCTAATCCCATAGATGGATTAGTTGAGCTAGCTAATGTCGTGGTAGGCCTAAACCTAGCTGTTCTATCTTGACATAGTACTATACTTCCTTGTTTAAGTGGCAAAGTTTGAGAAATCGTTGTCGTGCTGTGGATTGGCATCCAAATTTGTTGTTTACCTAGCAAGCCCAAAAAGGTTCTTTGTTGTCGGTTCGGTAGGACCTAGCCACTTAAACTACTCACTCATATTGTAGGAGATCTCCGAGTTGAAATACGTGACAACACATAAGTTATTGATGAGTTGATTTTTTGTTGATATGAGTTGTATGTATGTTGTTGTGTTGTTAAGATGTGATTGTGTTGTATGTTGACACTGTTGAGGATGATGATAGTGTTGTTATGTTGTAAGTTGCTTTTAAACACGTGTTGTTGAGAGGTGTGCAATACATGTGTTGGTTGTTATGATGAATATGGTAACTATTCCAAT